AGGGTTTAAGGGTGAAGGGTTTAGGGTTTAGGGTTTAGGGTTTAAGGGTGTAGGGTTTAGGGGTTTAGGGTTTAGGGTTTAGGGGTTTCGGGTTTAGGGTTTAGGGTTTAGGGTTTAGAAGGTTTACGATAAGGGTCCAGTATAGGGGCCTTAGTTTTAACCAGAGACGCCGACACCCTTCAATTAACGAATAGACCATGAGGCATACGGGAATCCTTGATATGATTTACGGTTTGTTCCTCAATTACGGGTTTTTTTTAGTCCCTGGGATTTTTAGATTTGATAAGGTTTTTTTTTCATAGGCTTTCGTCGGGATTTAATCGGGTTCCACGGTTTTTGTTTTATTAGGGCCTTTTATAAGAGTTGGGAAGGGGTTCTATCATAGCGATTTCACAGCGGTTTCGGAGTTCAAGGTTTTGGCTTTGGCGCTTTGGTCGTTTAGGGATCAGTAAGACTACCCTAAACCCTAAACTCTAAGCCCCAAACCCCAAGCCCTAAACTCTAAACTACTACCCTAAACGCCCTGAGCCCTAAACCCTAAACTGAAAACCCTGACCCACTACCCTAAACGCCCTAAGCCCCACACTCTAAACACTAAACCCTAAGCAAGAAAACCCTAAACCGCTACCTGAACACCCCGAACCCTAAACCTATACCCCAGACCCAATACCCTAAACTCTAAACCCTAGACTCTAAGTCCTAAACCCGAAACCCTAAACCCTAAACTCTAAACCCTAAACCACTACCCTAAACGACCTAAACCCTATACCCTGAACTCTACTAAACCCTAAACTCTAAACCCTGAACAAGCCCTAAGTCCTAAACCCTAGATCCTAAACCCTAAGTCCTAAACCCCTAAAGCCTAAAGCCTAAAGCCTAACCCCTAAACTCTAAACCCTAAGCGCTAAACCCTAAGTCCTACACCCTATACCCTATACCCTAAACTCTAAACCCTAAGCCCTAAGCCCTAAACCCTAAACTCTAAACCCTAAACCTAGGCTTCAGAGAGGGGCCGGAATAGCTTCAGGCAGTATTTCGGGTTTCTTACAATGGAGTTTATGGTTTAGGGTTTGGGGTTTAGGATTTAGGAGTTTAGGGTTTAGGGTTTAGGGTTTAGGGTTTAGGGTTTAGGGTTTATGGTTTAGGGTTTGGGGTTTAGGATTTAGGGTTATACTACATCCAAAACTAACAGACCTATTAAGGTAGTTCAGGCCCCACCCAAAACTGGGCCTCCCGGTAGCGCTGGATCCCGGCCGGTGGCGAACTGTGGAAGACAAACCCCACAGCTCGAGATGCAAACAGGCGTGTCACAATGATGCTGACAGCTTCTATATAATGGACAAGACAGGAGCTGAGAACTGTCGTGCCCGGCTTCATTTGCTCGTTTCTAACCCTAAACCCTAAACCCTAAACCCTTCATTTGCTCGTTTCTGCAAACCTTGGTGACCTTCTTCACCTCCGGGCCGGCTGGCGGTGGCCGAGTCTTGGGTGCAATATGGGAGTTTCCGAAACTGAGGGGTACCTTATTTTGGGGTCCTTATAATAAGGATCCTACTACTTTGTGTGCTAGATTAGGGTCCCCTATTTTCGGAAACCCCCATATGGTGCAATGCAGGGCAAGGCAAGGCCATGCATGTATGCATGTGTATACTTCTGTCTGGTGCTTAGTAGGGAATGGGGGAATGGGTTATAGGGACTACAATCAGGGACCTTAAGGGACTACCATAGGGATCCATTCCCCCATTCCCTACTAAGCACCAGACAGACTTTCATGGCAATGTGTGCATCTTAGCAGTACCACCACCCTAAACCCAAAAACTTTTGAAACCCTACAGCCCTACACCCTCTGACCCTGAAGCCCTTAAAACCTTAAACTAGCCTAAACCCTATATCGTGCCCCAGTAATCCTCATCAGGACTATTATGTAAACGACTGGGATCCTGAGTACCCTTTTCACAACAATAAGGCCGTATAGAATCCGCCAACCCAAATCTGGTTTTATAGGGGGTGTACCTGTGTGCCAGGCCACCTCCTCTGACACAGCTGCTTCTCGGCAAGCCTTGGCGCCTTGAGAGCTGTGCAATATAGGGGCAATGAGGTCTTTCGAGGGTTGTAGCATATAGGACCAACTTCATTTAAGGGTTTCTACGAGGGTTTCGGAAGGGGTTCATAGGGTTTGTATTGGGTTTATTGTATATTCGGGAGCCCTACATAAGGAGAACATAGTATAGGGGCATTGATAGTCAGAAATAGTATTCCGTAGGTTTCTGGTTAGAACGATACTACCATGGGCCCCGAAACCATATTCGAATCATTAAGGCCACCATCTTGGACCCATGATCCATACACCCCCTCCCTTTGAAGGGCTAGAGGATTAGGATCTTTACTTAACCCTTGTCAGGGAATAGGGCCCTAAACCCTAAACCCTAAACCCTAAACCCTAAACAGCGGTTGTATTGTATGCAAGCTCCGCAGCTGCCTTTGTAAACTCTAGGCTTTCTTGAGATTCTGCAACCCGAATATGGGTAGTTGTCTAAATTAGGGTCCCTTTTAGGGTCCTTTTTATAAGGGTGCCGTAGTATTTTGGGGACCTAAAGCGGGACCCTAATTCAGAGAACTACCCATATAGGGGTCTAAATAACTACCAACTTACCAATATTATTCCTTGGGTTCCTTATCATAGGTATATCACAAGGTAACTGCCCCTATATGAAACCCTACACTAAACCCCAAAACAGCGGGCACTAAGCATAAGTTAGGGTTTAGGGTTTTGGGGTTCGGGTTGGCGTTTGGGGCTGGTCGAGGGGCAGAAGGTTTAAAGGTTCTAAGCACAGTCGTCGGAAGGTTCGCAATCTCATTTTGGGGCCCCTAGTATCATATAGGTGCATGTGTTTTCATGTACACGCTGAAGCAGGAATTTACAGCAAGACTTGTGTAGCTACATCGATATGAATATGCCGCATGGCTTTTTGGACTAGGCAAGCTTGTCCGTTTCCACAAGCAGCCTGTGCTTGCATTACACATGCGCCACTGCCACACGAGAGGGGTTTGGGACGTTCTAAACCCTAAACCCTAAACCCTAAACCCTTTTTGGATGTTCCGGAACCTCGAGGTTTCGGGCGTCGGGGTTTGGTCCTGAACCCCTAAGCCCCAAACCCCGCAACCTTAAACACTAAAGCCTAAAGCCTTCAACCCTCAACGCCAAACCTTAAACCCTAAACCCCCAACCCTAAACCCTAAACCCCCAACCCTAAACCTTAACCCGTAAACCCTAAACCCTAAAACCCCCAACCCTTGGGTTTCGGATTCGGGTTTTAGGGCTTCGGGCTTAAGGTTTAGGACCTACCCGTACCCAGACCCCCGGAAGGATCCAAAAAGTAGATCCCTTAAGGGGGTTCCTACAAAGTACCCTCTATTAGTTAGGGTCCCTGACCCTAAACCCTAGACGTTTTTGTAGTTAGGGTCCCTCACCCTAAACCCTAAACCTCAAGCCTTAACCTTAAGCCTTAAACCCTTAACCCTAAACCTTCAGCCCTAAACCCTAAACCCTTTCGTAGCTAGTTTTTTGGACCTTTTGGGGGGTCTGGGGAGGGCCCAAATGTTTGATCTCACAAATAGAAGCCTTAGTAATTAGAATAGGGTTTTGGGGCCCATTATACTGTGATTATAATAAGGAGCCGCCAAAATAGGGTTGATAATATACATCCTGCCTTACCCAGAATAAGGAATATGCCACAATTCCCATACCATAGTTTAAGCCGTAGCATTGGTAATTATTTCGGCCACCACATTACGGATGTCAGCCGACAGCATCAGACCGTGTCGGCTTGGGGTTTATTTAGGGTTAGGGTTTAGGGTTTAGGGTTTAGGGTTTAGGGTTTAGGGTTTAGGGTGTTCAGGGGGTTTAAGGTTCGGGGGTTTAGGAGGCTTAAGGTTGGGGGGTTTAGGGTTTAGGGTTGGCGGGGCTTAGTGTTGGGGGGTTTAGGGTTTAGGGTTCGCGGGGCTTAGTGTTGGGGGGTTTAGGGTTTAGGGTTGGCGGGGCTTAGTGTTGGGGGGGTTAGGGTTTAGGGTTGGCGGGGCTTAGTGTTGGGGGGTTTAGGGTTTAGGGTTGGGGGGTTTTGGGTCGGGGTTTAGGGTGTGGGGTTGAGGGTGTCGGGTTGAGGGTTCATTGGTTTGTGGAGCTAACCAGCTAATGCCCTGGGAAGTTGGTGCTTCAGACCCTTCAGATGCCGGTGTGTGGCGCTGTAAGGGTGATGGCTCTGGCTAAATGTGGGCTTTCCTTTGATGATAGAGGAGGATGCAGATGTCACGCTGGGTCACCAGGGTTGCACCAGATCTGCAGGGAACAACAGGCAAACAAGTTGCGCCAAGATGTTCAGGGTCACGTCACTACATATATTCAACCCCCAGCCCTTAACCCAAAGCCTTGAATCTTAAGCCATAAGTCCTCAGTCTCAATCGCAGAACCCCCAGTGTAGGAATCCCGAAGCATGACACGCTGGGTTCCGGGTTTGGGGCTTCGGGAAGCAGGTGAGTGTGGGAGAAGACTGGCACTTTTTGCCATGCTTATATCTACGAAGTACTGCAATGCAGTGATGTGCATGCTTCATAGCATCGCAGACAAGGAACGAGTGTTTTTCTTTTTTTGCTGTTGCTGCTTTTTTGTTGTTGTGCAATCCCCGGCGAACCAGCAAGTGAGTGAACTGCCGGCCAAACAGCAAAAAAAACACCGCCCCCTCCCCTGCAGCAACAGCAAAAGGCACAACAGCAAACAAACACCACCCAAGCGGTAACAGCAAACAAAACACCCCCCTGGCAGCCACAGCAAAAAAGAACACCCCCCCTGCAGCAACAACAACCCCCCCCCCCGGCAACAGCAAAAAAGCAGCAACAGCAAAAAACAACACGCATACCCAGCAGACAGTATCACTCTGTTTTCGTTTCGAGGACGTTCATACTTAATACAAGCATCGGAGCACGAAGAGATGCTTGGTTCGTGCGTGTTTTTGCCACAACTTCTGAGATTGCTCCAAAACAGTGGGCACGGATACTTTTGCGGCTTGGGGTTTGGGGTTTAGGTTTGCTGCAGTTGCATACACGATTTGCACCGAGACGTTGGCAATCAAAAGGGTCCCTCTCAATCAAGAGGTTGGAGTCGACATAATTTGGGTGTTATGCCAGGTTTGGAACCTAGATTGCGAGACTTGATAGCGACTTTGCTGACTTGGCAAAAACAACAGCACAATCCCTCAGCAGGCCTTTGGGATAGTGGTTTACGAGTTTTTTCACAGGCTTCAACGACAAGACTCACAAGACCAACCGAGATCCCCGACCCCTTGTCTGAACATGTGTTTTGCGATACAGGTCTGGCACCAAGGCAGGTTGTTATTCGATGAAGGAGTGTTTGGCTTTGGTTTTAGGGTGTGCAGCGGAAGACAACAACTACTGGGAATTGGTTCCGTGTTTTCTGCTTGGCTTTGTGCAACGTGCAGTTTTGCAAGGCAGCTGTTTTGGATGGGATTTAGAATTTCGCACGCGGCTTCATGGGCTTGGGTTTGGGGGATGCAGCCCTTTGAAGTTTAGTGGCTGGCGCAAATGAGGCAAATGTATGGCAAACAAAGTGATGTACAATCCTGCTGAAAAGACGCCCAAACCCGAGAACCCGGGCCTCAACCCGAGATCGTTCCCGCACCCAGTGCGTTCGCGGGTTGGCTTGGGCCATTTGCTTGCAGGTTCAGGGGGCCTAGGTGTTTCGCAAGTAAAGCTATGACTTCCTTTTATATCGGGTTATACGTAATTGTACTCATAGTTGCCTTATTCACAACCTTATTTACTAAGTCTCATGCTTCGTTAAGTTGGGTACGCACAGTCCCATTCAGAAACAACTTGCTAAGGCCCATGTGCATCCAGGTCCGATAACCCGAAGTGTTGAACCCCAAACCTTGACCATCAAGCCACATCTAAACACTACTGAGACCGCCGCGGCTCCAGCCGCAGATGGCTCGACGCTGCCACTGGGTTCGAAATGAGTCCGTTGGGTTTACATGAGCAGGGTTTAGACAGATCAGGTAGTATTGCTCCTCACCCTCCCGCACACCCAGAACATGAAACCACAAGGCAACAGTCTTGTTGTTTGGACCTGCGTCCTTTCAGTAAGGAGCCACCTCGCTGGAATTCGAGCTCCCTGTCCCCAGTCTCACTCAATGTGCCTAGGTTACGTAGTAAAACTTCTTTGCAGCAGCTCCAAAACGGTAAAAAGCTCTACGACGTACCTTACCCAGTCAGGTCTGTTTGTGTAGCTACATACTTCTCTGTTGGCATCTTAAGCTTGTGCCCTTCTCCGAGACCAGGAGTGCACGAATGTGGGATGTTGCCTTGTCAAACCTCAACCTCAAGCTTTGCAGACCCGTCCCGTGCAAAACTTCGTGCGACCTTCCTGTTCGTTGAGGGTTTAGGATTCGGAATTGGGTGGTTGAGTCTTAATTAATAGAGCACATTCTTAAGCTCTAGGCCCGCAATGGCCCGCAGCTTCCCATGGACCCAGCCGACACGGAAATCTTGAAGTACGAAGCCTAAGCCCGCGCAACCTGTATCACAGGATGATCCTTGCAATCCAGCCTGAGTCCTAAAGCCCGAGGCTTGAAGACTTTAAAGTAGCATCTTTCGCCCTCTTTGCTCCGGCACGCCTCGCTGGGCTTAGCTTCTTACTTACACCTTGAACCATTGATTTCAGAATCTTCGCGAAGGGTTTGGCAAACTTTCCTTGGAACGGTTAAGGAAGCCCCTGATTTGCGGTAAACCCTGAACGCTAAACCCGAAACCGAAACCCTAAACTTAGGGTTTAGGTTTTAGGGCTAAGCCTTGTCCCGCAGGTTAGCCGAGCTGCGTGTCTATGACAGCGCTGTCACGAAGGACGGCCATGGCTTAGGTCTTCGGATGTGTGGGCGCGGGGACTCCAAACCCGTCCCATTGAGGAATCTACCCTAAATCTTCCTAAATCTTCATATTAATACCAAGAATGAGAAGAAGAGTAGCTAAGATATGAGCAATGTTATGAGTAACAGTAGTAAGACTAAGAGCAAAAAATGAATCAGAATGCCTCTTCCCGTTAGGATCTGTCTCTCATTTGAGGTATGTTCGTTAGGCGAGGCCTGGACTCCCGAAACCGTGCAATTTCCTCTGGATGCGCATTGGCTTTGTCTAGGGCGATCCGATACTCGATTGTTTTAGGGTTTAGGGTTTAGGTTTGTCGGTTTTAGGGTTTGGATTTAGGGCTCTAGGGTTTTAGGGTTTTAGGGTTTTAGGGTTTCAGGGTTTTAGGGTCTAGGGTTTAGCACTTGGTATGTGACATAGACCCGCGGCTGAGAAGCTGTACTGTTGGCGGCCTGAAAACTTTGAATCCTCAGACCCTACCAAACCCTGTTGTAGAGATCTGAGCAATTGGTGGCAAATGAACCCTATAGCCCCCCTGTACTTAGACCGCTGTGCTCCAAGACCGCTAGTCCGCTTGTGAAGCTCTCATAAACTTAAGTTATATTAAACCGTAGCCAATCTTCAAATCCAGAAGCCTGAACCCTAAACCCTTAACCGTACACCCTAAACCCTAAACCCTAAACCCTAAACCCTAAACCCTAAACCCTAAACCCTAAACCCTGAACCCTGAACCCTAAACCCTCAACCCTGAACACTAAACCCTCAACCCAAAACCCTACATAAAGCCCTGCATCAGGAGGATTACTTCGACGCCGCCTCAAACACCTGGGACATTGAAGGACTAGAGGCGGACTTGCGTCTTGCGAAGGCGAGGCACAAGCTTTTGGGTTTAGGGTTTAGGGTTTAGGGTTCAGGGTTTAGGGTTCAGGGTTCGGGTTTAGGGGCTTAGGGTATTGTCACGGTTCAGGGCTTAGGTTTTAGGTGCCATCCGCACACTTATCCTTGCTAGTTTATTTATTTCTAAGTCATAGTTTTTTGCTTGTGCCAAGTCTTGTCCTCTTATTCTTCACGCTTCTGAACAGAAAAATTCCACGTGGTAGCTTTTCGAAGCCTTCTTGCTCCGTTTCGTGCTCGTGAGTATTTGCATCGAAGGTGTTGCCGCATCGTGTAGTTCTGTGCATGCTTTGCGTTTGTGGGGTTGGATGTGGGTTTATCCAACCGACGGCTTTCCGGGCAGGTCCCTCAAGAGTTTGGAAGCCAGGTTTGCAGATCCCTAAACCCTAAACCCTAAACCCTAAACCCTAAACCGTGGGTTTAGGGACTAGGGTGACTAGGGTTTTGGGTTTACGCGCGTGGAACGCCGGTGTTGGAATGAACTGCTGCCGGCTCCAAGTTGAGGTTGTGGCTCAGGGAAGGAGAACGTACGAGTTTTAAGCCCCGCGTCGTCGGGTCGACATAAGGGGAGCAGGGCAGTTGAACTGGTCCCCCTCCCGAACCCTAGACGCGACATCCTAACCCGACACCTAAATATCCTGGAATGCTAAGTTTCCACCCTGAGAATCGGCCCAAAACTATGAAAGTATACCCTAAACCCTAAACCCCCGAACCCTAAACCCAAAACCCCTGAACCCTAGACCCTAAACCTAAACCCGCTGGATGGGAACACCCTAAACATGAACGCCGTAAACCTGAACCCCGTGAATCCCCCAAAAAGCACACCCTAACTAGGGTTTAGGGTTTTTTTTGCTCAGGGCTTAGGCTTTAGGGAGCCTTAAACCCTGTAGACCCCAGAGGGAATTGAGGGTGTAAGCTTTAGGCCCTAAGGAACTTGCGTTGGTGGTTGCTTGCGGTATCGTAAGAAGAACTGGGTGCTGTCATAAACATTCCCTTGACACCGGATGCACCGCTGCCAGCACCCCCTAAACCAAAAGAACCCTAAAACCCCTAAACCCTAAAACGCTGCGTGGGAAAAGCCTGCGACTGGCGGTCGCTGGTAAGGCATATTGTTCTGCTTTTGGCGGATCGTGCGGGCTTGAAAGACCAGCCCTTTGGCACATGGCACTCCAAGTGGGGTGACCCTTAATAATTAGAATAGGGTTTGGGGGGTGTATTGTACTATCATCATAATAAGGAACCCCCAACACCCTATTCTAATTATTAAGGCCCCCCACATTTCGGCCGAGTAGGGGTGGCAAAGTCTCCAGGAGCTAGGCTGGAAGCACGCTCGTTTTTGCAAAGACGCCGGGGAGGCCACCACATCAGGCCTGCTTGGATGTTGCTTGGTTGAGATCCCTAAACTCCGAAGTCCCGAGACCCTAAGCTCCATAAGATTTAAACTCCAAAAACCCTAAACCCTAAACTCCCTAAGCCCTAAACCCTAAACCCTAAACACTAAACCCTAAACGCCCTAAGCCCTAAACACTAAACCATAAACCATAAACCCTAGACTCCCTAAGCCCTGCATCCTAAACCCAGCGTCCGCAGGGCTCAGCCATTGAGAAGCTAGAGGCCTCCGCGATCAAGGTGCATGGGTTTCTTTAAAGGTACTATACGGAACCTAGGGTGTAAGAGTTGGGGCTAAGGGTTTTTGGGCTTAGGGTTCAGAACCCCATAGCACCCTTAAAGGGGAACGTATTCTAGAACCGTATCGTACCCTTAAAGGGTATTGTAGGGCTGAAGGGTTTTCGGGGTTTAGGGCTTGGGGGTTGAGGGCTTAGGGTTTGGGGTTTTAGGGCTTGGGTCTGAGATGGTTCTTGAGGGTGATGGCTTTTGTGCGTTTCGTATGACATTTATGGAGGTCTATACGGGTCTGATAAAGTTCGACCATGGCATGTACAGGGTTTCGGGTTTAAGGTTTCCTAGGTAGTATTGGGGAGGCCCCTTAGAGTGGACTCTTCTGAACCCTACTTCTGGATCTCTTGAAAGGGACCTTATTGAGAGGGTCTATTTCCCAAAGGGTCCCCCTAATCCTAAATCCCAAGGTTTATCGGGTTTTGGGTTGGGCAGCTTGCTGCTTAAATGCCAATGACCATGCAGCCTCTGAGCACTAGAGTATAGAAGTCTGACTGATTAGTAAGAGTCACCATATCCCCAAATAGTTCCCATGCATAGCAAGATATCAAGATACTCAAACCTGGTTGTAACCCATTTAGGGTTAATTTCGTCCTTCAGGTACAAGTCGTGAGGCTTGTTGGGCTCAAGGAATGGTGACTTGCACATCAGCATCCCGAAAGTAACTAAGGCCTCCCAAACCACATATGGGTAGTTCTCTAGATAAGGGTCCCTTTTTTGGGTGTCCTAAGGGGGATCTATAAGGTTCCGATGAGGCTACTATCAGGGTTCTATATGGGTGGGCCCTTTTTAGGGTCCTTTTTATAAGGGTGCCGTACTCAATTGGGGACCTAAAAAGGGATCCTAATTTAGAGAACTGCCCACATATATCAGCTATCCCTAAAGCATAAAGCCCAAGCGTTAAACCCCAAAACCACCAAACACCAAAATCCCTAAACCTTAAACCCGACAAACCCAAAACCCCAACCCCCAGTATCCCGAATCCTTAAATGCAAAGCCCCTCAATCCGTAACCCTTACGACTACTGGAGTGGACAGGTGAATGGCCTGAACGGCCTCAATGGCGCAAGCAAATCGAACGGCGAGAAGTCGGGTGCGCAGCTCTTCGACGCGACCTGCTTGGAAGGTCTTCCACGGTTTAGGGTTTAGGACTTTGGGTTTGGGGTTTAGGGTTTAGGGTCCCCCCGAAACACCTACAGTTACAGCGAATCCCAAAGTTGGAACATTGCTTTAGGAGGATTAATGCTAGGGTCCATTATAAAACTTCACGGGCATGAAGATAATGATGTTCCAACTTTCTGGCTTCTAGTATAAGGTATCTACATTCCTAAACCCTCAACCCTAAACCCCAAACCTTAAACCTTCAACCCAAAGCAACTTCCGACGTCAAGTGGAGTCCAGCAGTTTTTGAGCCGCAAGAGACACGCGAAAGCTTCGAAGATCAGGGCAGGGCTGACGCGTTTAGGGTTTAGGGGAGCTAGGGTTCCTTAAGGACGAAATGCGCACTAATAGGGCTTAAGGCTCATAGACCATTTATAGGGATTCATCGTATAAGGGTACAGGGCCCCTACTTTTAAGGGTAATTTCGTCCTTAGGTAGAGGAGTTGGGGTAGTAGCGTTTAGGATTTGAAGTGCCCTGGGCGCTTAAGGTTTCGGGTCATGTCTCTGTGGCAGTATCAAAGTAGCATCGCGTGATACTCATCCTAATCGTCCCACTCTTACAACTTGGTCCAAATTCATCGGCTGAATTGCTGAGCCCGAAACTCCCAAATGCAAGTCGATCCCGTCCTTCAAGGTTTATTCCTTACTTATTGAAAGATAACCCTAAACCCTAAGCCCATGTACAATCGCCACAGCGAACAAGGAACTGCGATCGGTCGATTCGTCTATCGCCAAGGCACGCCTCAGATTGGCCGCTTTACTAGTTGAGAGGCGGCTTATGGTGCTGAGAGTATCACCATAAATTCCGCACCCTAGAAACCATAAACCCTAAACCCTGAACCCTAAACCCTAAACCCTGAACCCTAAACCCTGAACCTTAAATCTGAAACCCTAAAACCCGAATCCTGAACCTTAGAACCCGACACTCCTGGTGTTTAGGGTTTACCCATAGGCCCCATAGTAGTTCCTTTTTGGGGTTCATATTTAGAATCCTATAAGGTAATCGCCAAAAGGAACTACTATGGGGCCTATGGGTAGGGCTTCAGAGAGGATGTATCATGCCCCGGGTTTCTCGTACAGGGTTCCGAGTTTAGGCTTTATGGGTTTTTTAGGGTTTAGGGTTTAGGGTTCAGGGTTCAGTATTTAGGGTTCAGGGCTTAGGGTTATTGGAGTTTCACGATTATTGAATGGTTTTGAGTTTAGGGTCATGGTTTGAGGGACAGGAGACGCCTGTCTTGCGCATCTGACTGGATTTGCTCAACTCCGGACCGTGTGCAGAGGCCCTTAATCAAGCAATACATGCTTCATCTAAGTCATGTGCCGTAGCCTGGTCTTTCTATAACTTGAGGACTCTTACTGACAATTTCTTATTCTGTCACCCTGCAGGGTCTACAGGACCCAATAACTAGGTACTTGGGTTTACGGTAGTAGTTTTGCAGGTTAGCATTTGTGAGAGCACATCATTATTGGGTACTTCCCTGAGGGTAAGCCTTCAACCTGCGAAGTATTGGGGCTATGGGCCCTCCGGACGTTTGTTTGAAGGGCCTGGGACTGGGCCTTCAGCATCGAAAGCCGCTATAGACAGATATGGCATGTTGGGCAGAATGCAGCTCATGTGCTTTCGATTTAAGATGTTTTCTTTTTGTTCAGGATTGAGGGTTTTTGGGTCTATGGTTTAGGATGAAGGGCTTACACTCCTCCACACAGCCCACGAGCTTCCCATGAGAGGATCCCTTTACGAGAAAGCGAAGCTCTGTTTCCTCCTAGTGAAAAGAAGGGTTTAGGGTTTAGGGTTCTAGAATCCCTAATAAGATGGTCAGCCCTGCACTTAAACCCCTTCTTCAGATGGCTGTCGCATCTTCCAGCAGCACCTGTGCAGGAAGACTACTACGATGCCTCCACAAACACGTGGGACATCCAGGGCATGCAAGAAGCCCCATGATCGAAATTTTGGGCTTAACAAGGTTTGCTGCCATTTGAAAGTGTTTCTGCTTCCGTCTGTACAAGTAAGAGCTTATGTTCTAGATATGTGCGTTTATGTACGTATGTATGTATGTATGTATATATATATATATATGTGTGTGTGTGTGTGCATGTAAACATAGGTATGTACTTATGCTGGTTTTGTTTCATGTAGTTTTTTGCTTCTGAAGCGTTTTAGCGGGGCATAAGGTGGAAACCTGGTTAAGAAACCCTGGCCCTATAACCCCAAAATTGCGGGTTCATATAACGAACGCAAATAAAGACCCAGGTAAATCAGTTTCCTATACTAGCTCCAAAAGTCCCCAAAGCTTTCAGACGCCTATATTACCGTTCTAGAGCTCTTTAAAGGAACCCTAGCACCTTAAGCCCGTAAAGGAACCAAAACACCCAAAACCCTTTAAGGGCACCCTCTTATAGACCCCCATAGTACCCTTTAAAGGAACCCCTAATGTTCCTCTATTTCATATTTATGAACTCTTTTTGTTAGTAGCTTTGTATAGCCTTCTACAGGAATCCAGCAGGAACCCTAAACCCGAACACCTAAACCCTAAACCCCTTAGGTGCCTACCCTAAACCCTAAACCCTAAACCCTGAACTACTAGTTCCTGTTTATGGCTTGTGCATTTGGGCATTGTATCGGCGTCAGCCTTCGATATCGGAAGCTCCGAGACGCTAGTGTAGGGTTTAGGGTTTAGGGTTTATGAACGGTCTAGGGCTTGGGATTTGGGGTGCTTCGAGCTTCACATTCTTAGGATTTAGGGGGTTTAGAGCTTCACATTTAGGGTTTGGGGTTTAGGGCGAAGGATGGCTTTGTTATTTATGGCTGGGAGGGGTTCGGGGTTCTAGGGCTTTTGCGGACACAGGGTTTTAGTGCTTTTAGGCTTTTAGTGGTAGGATGTGGGGTGGCTTCGTGTCCTCAGTTTTCGATGTTTGTGCGGTCGGGTTCGGATGGGTAGGTTATGATGATGCAGACACTTTTCAGGGTTTAGGGTTTAAGTAGCTTTCTGATACACCTTCCCTGGTATGAGTATAACATGCGATGTATCCTCACATTAAGGCCCTGAAACAAAGGGAGCTAACCGGGGGTCTGCATGAATATCGTGCAAGAGTCCATCAGGTGTCGGGGTTGCAAAAATGGCTTTTACTAGTTCGGAGGCTGCTCTAGTCATCCCAGTATCTTAGGGCACCCTGGTTTGGAGCCTCCAAATCTACGCCAGCCCAGAACCCTGCACCATAAACCCAAGTCTACACCAGCTTCGACGTCGTCACTTGCACTTCCGCGTGGGGCTCTGATAGCTTGGTTTAGGGCATACTATAGATGCCTAAGTAATTACCAATATTATTCCTTAGGCTTCCTTATTATATTTATACTCTAAGGGAGCCGAAAGCCCTATGCTAATTACTAATGTCCCTATACATTATCAGTCTTATGGGATGTAGGCTTCATGTCAGTCTTCTGGGGTGTATGTGCGCAAGGGGTTCTGCACAACCGTTTCAGGTTTCCGCTTATTGCCGAAGTGAGCTGCAAACTTGGCATTGTGACCCTGAAGCCTCAACCTTAAACCGAGTGCTTTATGGCCTCGGGATGACGAGATCAACATGGAAGCCTCAAAAATTACCAATATTACTGTTAGGGCTCCTTATCAGAATAACGCTATAAAGGAGCCCAAAACCCTATTCTAGTTTTAAAGGCCCCTACATGAACTCTAAGCCCTTTGCCTTAAACCTCAAGCCAGCGCCAGTTCAGGGCAAACTCTAAACCGTAAACCCCGAGCCCATTACCCTAAACCCCAAACCCCTAAACCCTAAAAGCGTTTTTGGGTTTAGGGTTTAGGGTCCAACTTCAGGATCTGCTCCTCATGGGGCAGCAAGAGAAGCAAGACCCGGAAGGCAAAAGCAGGGTTTAGCGTTTACGGTGCCCGGGCTCTTTGGTTTACAAGGCTGTTGGGCTTCGCAGGACTTGGCGGTTGATAAGATTGGGCTTCGAAAAGCAAGTGCGGAGACGCCCGCCCTAAACCCTAAACCCTAAACCCGTAACCCCAAAACCCCTGAGCCCCGAAGCCCCCAAAACCCCTAGAGCGGTACAAGGCCACAGTCACTGGGTTCGAGGGCTTAGGGTTTAGGGTTTAGGGTTTAGGGTTTAGGGTTTAGGGCCATGCCTCAACGACTATGACGGCGACGCACGGCACAGTCAGACGCCACCTCCCCTCGACAGAACGTTCAGGGTTTAGGGTTTTGGGGTGCAGCGGCCTCTCTGGGAGCCGGGCCCATCTCCGCTTCGAGACGGAGATCGCACAAGCCCGCTCCCAGTCGGACACATTGCTCTTCCTGAACCTGCGGGCATTGCATCATGACGAGCATACACTCTACGATACCCCTAAACCCCTATCAACAGTCCTACGCAGCCCTAATATGGCCACTACTATTTTGAGGGCTCCTTTTTTCAAGGGATACGCCAAAACCCTGTTCGAATCATGAAGGCTCCTGCATTAAACACTCTCAAATCACCCGAAATCCCTAAACCCTAAACCTCAAACCCTCAACCCTAAACGTCAAAGCCGTAAGGATTCTAAACCGTTTAGGTTCAGGGCACCCCTCAACGACTTAAGACCGCGAAGCACATGAACAGCCTGAAAACCCAACGGCAAGAAGCCCTACACTTTGAACCATGAACGCCCCTCTAGCAGTAGAGTAGGTATCCTTTAACTGTTTTGGGTTCATATTTCGAATCCTATAAGGTAATCCCCCAAAGGAACTACTATGGAGTAGCTATCATTTAACTTTTTTTGGTGTTTTATAATCCCTATCTAATCCCAAGAATTAACCTTTATATCCCCTAGAAACCCCAAGCCCTAAACCAAAAATCCCTAAGCCCCTAAATAGGATAATGGACAAGCAGAGGCCTTACCAATATGTCTAAATCACTACCAATGTTATTTTCTAGGGTTCCTCATTTTGATTGAAAC